AGACCAAATTTTAACTAAAAGTTAATTTGTTATAATAAATTTACAACTCTAAAAATAGGTTGTTCATTTTATTTGTTCGTTTCATCTTCCCCCCTCCCCCCCCTTCAAAAAATCCTAGAAGGTGATGTTAACCGAAGAATTAACTTCAAACGGCCTTAATACCAATAAAAAAAACTAGAATTTTTTGAATAGGATCAATTAAATTTTTTGTGCCATGATTGCCAAAAATTAATTAAGATAGAACCTTCAATGCTATATAGTCACTCATTTTCCCCTTGCAATTTAAACATTGCCAAACCCTCCCTTACCAATATTGAGTCCAATTTCAAAGCTTTTAAATGATATTTGACATACTCTATTAATGTTAATTCATACTCACATATAATTATGTATCTTCTTTATTACTTAATGAGTGAACTAAATATAATTTTACTCTCAAATGATGACTCAGGTTCTTCCAATTTAGGAAAATCATGCATTAGGGGCTTTTACTTAATGCAACTCAGTGTTACGATAAAAATTATTACTCGATTTAGATTTTCCAGGCAAATTTGCCTGGAATACGGACTAAGGGATAATAAAAAATTAGATGTGACATCTTGATCGACTGATATTAAACCTGTTTTTAACTGTATGTACCGGTACACGTAAACCTGGTTTAACTAAATTTGTGCAGTTCCAGATAGAATTTCTATTTCTGTGTGTGTAACATGAAAAATTTGCTACCGATTTCATATTGTACTCTACCCTTAAGTACCCCCAAATTATTGTCTAATGTCATCAATCCGTCGGGTTAAAGAGATTATTTTTCTTGGAACAGGTAAATAACCAGAACTTTAGTGGAATTATACATTTACTAAATCTAAATTCATATAGGCACGTCCTTCGGTGTTCCTATGATTGCGTGCTTGATAGACCCGGAAAAAAAATGCGAAACGTGCATGTCAACGTTCACTCCTGAAGGTGAAGTAAACATAAGGCGAAACACTTGCCTATTAATCAGAGTGAATCATGAAGATGGAAGAGTGAGGTCAATTTTAATATATTATTAGAATAAATTATAATTTCTCGAATTTGTCTCTAGAAACAATTTCATTATATGCATGTTCTACGAATAATAGAAATATCGTTATAGATTGTGGAAAGACATTTTATGGTAATCATTAATTTATTTATGCATCAAATTGAGCAGCTTTTTATTTTCTAACTGATTTTCATATGACATTTGATGTAATAAGTTTCAGCATTGAAATGGTGGCCTTATTATGAATTGCGTCAAATTGATGCACTCATATTAACCCATCCGCATGCTGACGCAATAAACGGGCTAGATGACTTACGAGCTTGGACGTTGCATAAAACAATCCAAGATCATGTTTCGATTTATCTGACAGCTTATACTTTAGATGCTGTCAAGGTATCCTTTCCATATCTAGTGGACATAAGTCAGGCTACCGGTATGCGCAATCATTAATTCTTTCCTTTTTTTTTTGTCTCATTAAAAATAATAGATCCTGACATATCATTATATACAGGTGGAGATCTACCAACATTTCAATGGAATATTATAGATTCAAAGTGTTATTTACTATTGAAGGGCTAGAATTCATTCCACTGCCAGGTAACATTTTGAGTCATGCTTGAACGAAATTATGTATTTAAAACAGTAATTGTAAAATATTATAGTTCAACATGGTGTCTATTTCTCAACAAACGAGCCTTATACCTACATTGGTTTCCGCTTTGATAATATATGTTACATCTCTGATTGCAACTTTATACCAGAAGAAACACGCGTAAAAATGTATGGGAGTGAAATTGTAATTTTGGATTCTTTGGATCGTATGTTACTTGCTTAATTTCATTAATATATTGGATTCGTGTCTCAGAAATTCATCATGATTTACATCGTATAGATAAGGAACATCCATCCCATTTTTCAATACAACAAGCTATTGACACATCAAAAAATCTAGTTCCAATACCAAAAAGAACTTATCTTACGGGCTTTTCCCATGAAGCAGAACATCACAGTTTGACAGAGGAGATGAAGATGTTAGAAGAAGAGGAGCCTAGATTGTGGGTCAGGCCTGCACATGATGGATTAAAAGTGTGCATTGAAACAGACATAGTTTTGCCGAATGGAGTAAACAATTAAATTCAAGAATAGACAAACATTATATATGATTTATCATATATTGTTTATTGCATAATTAGAATATTATAGAATTCTAATAAACTTTATTTAAAAAAAAATTTTTTTGATAAATTTTTTATATCTTGAAGTAATAAAAAACGACCAGGATTTTTAATTTGATTTTGTTTAATTAAAATTAGTTTAAGTCAATTTATTTTGACAAGTACAGCGTTAAATATACCTTTTTGTTTGTCTTTATATAATAACTAAATCCTTGTTTATTATAATATTAATGTTTAAGTGATATTGGCGATATTTTTCTAATTTGTTTAACTTATAGTTTACATGGATAACATTGTACGAATTATGAATATTATAATAATGTAATCAGAAACTATTAAATACCTATTTTGAGTGTAAAAATAATAATTACCACAGGTGGCGATCGATCCAAGAAATATGCTCTAGAACCACCAAATAGAAATAAATAAATAAATAAATAATTCTGACAATCAAAATCGGTTAGAGCGGCTTTGCTAGATGAAAAAAGTAATTTACTGTTATTCAATTGTTTTAATTTTGTACTACTAAAAATTTTGCTATATAAATTAATTGTTATTCAATAATAATAGAGGTAATGAAATCGGGTGATAAAGAGCATAAATAATATAAAATTTTTTGATAAAAATAATTTCCGTTTTAGTCTAAAAGGAAATGTGGCTGATCACGAGTAATGTCATATCCAATAAAAAAAAAGAGAATCGTAACCAACTTTAAACATAAATGTTAATGATCTACAATGCGCGAACAAAAAAAGATTGAAGAGGGTTAACAAATTACCTATATCATCAATACTGTTATTATTCCAACTACAGAATACTGCATTCAGAACATTGTTATCCCTCTTTCCACATGCAACAAAATTCTTAGACAATACCTAACAATTGCCAAATATAAATCTCATCTCTTTCGATCCACTTCTAACAGTACTATGCTCAACCATAATCTCTACAATGTTCACAGCTTGTGGAATATACAGCTTCAACACCATATTAGCAACTTTCTTAATCATATTAATAACTCTTCTACCCTTGGTATAACTACTCAAATTAGACTTCAACAACTCCAAAACAACCTATGGTCTAGCACTAATATCCTTCACCACCCTAATACTCTAATTGACAGTCCTAACAGACATACTACTACTTTTAAAATCATACAACTTTTCAACTCTCTCAATATATCTATTTTCTCCAACCCAACCTTTTCTGGCCTCAAACTATTTATGGAGGCAACTCTACTCTAAAAGATATCTTTTTTCAATACCCCAAATACTCCACCTTTAAATACTGTAACAACTCTATCACAAAAATATTCTTTTTTTTTAAACAATTATGTTCTGAAAACAACAATACACTACTTGATTAGTAACATATATCACCCAGATTATTGCATATTCCTAAAGAAAAAAAAACCAGCATGGTTTTCCTATCTAGAAAATACTAATTTGTCCTATACTCTCCACTGTACAATTTAGAGATTGGACCCGTTACCCGCATATCCGGATACTCTAAATATTTCACGGGTAACAACCCTTATTCGCCAGTTTTCAGAAGGATAACCTAACAGGTATCCGCGGGTATCCAGAGTAGAGGTTGGAACCGGTTTTAATAATTCGGGTTTATCACGTGAATTTTGTGATATTTTCGAATTTATTAAAATTTAATTGGCTTAAATTCTTAAATATCACAAAATTCATGTGATAAACCCGAATTATTAAAACCGGTTCCAACCTCTAATCCAGAGTATCCAGAGTACCTGCAGGTATCTACGGATATCCAGGAACCCGCGGGTATCTGCGGATATCCAGGAACCTGCAGGTATCCAGGTATCGGCGTAACCCGTACATCATAAAAATTTGTAAATGCATGCTAGTACTGTAGTATATATCTTTAGAAACTGATCATATAAATGTAAGCGAGAGAATACATTTATTTTTTATTTTTATTTTTATTTTGAGCAGTAAATTTCCCAACTATTTAATATAGCGACTTTCATGTAAGTGGAGTGCATATTAATGTATTAACATGAAGGCATAATGCCTCTGGTACAAGTTAGTAAGTTCCGGTATTAATTAAAATGCATAAAAACATAAGCACAAAAGTAAAGCAGCAATCAATCACTTTTCTTCATTAAGTGATTATTACTGACTTTTGAGCCCTGTAAGAAATACTGTAGCATTAATTTATAATTTTAATATGCTGGCTTAAACTGCTATATGTATGCTTTAAAAAAAAAAATATATCAAAAATACCAGTATCGCAGTTTTTTTTTTTTCTGAGCCCTTAATATAGTAATTACTAGTTCGATGGGTGGCGCTTCTCGCCACCCATCTTATTTGTTTAATCAAATTACTGTTAAAGATTCTTTACAGAATTTATTATTTATTGCAATATGTGCGATATGTAATTAAATTTTAATAAGTTTCATTGGAATTATTTATTATGTGGTTACAGTTAAGATTGTCAATTTTTACCATAATTCGAAGTAAAAATTTCTATTACAGAACTTGCTATTCGATGATCACAGTATGTAGTCACAGTTGAGTTTATTGCATTAGAACTATTATTACGGTTAATCGCATGTTCTCTTGAAACACAATCGTTAAGGTGAATAGAATTAAACATAATAATCACCTTGGTAATTTATTGGACGATTGAATGATCAATGTCTTGTAACACAATTGTTAGAGCGAACCGAATTAAATTTCATACTCATACTGGTAATTTATTTGAATGTTTAAATGATTACAGTTAATCACACGTTCTCTTGAAGCACAATTGTTAAAGCGAATCGAATTAAACTTCGTACTCACCCTGGTAATTTATTTGAACGATCAAATGATTACGGTTAATCACACGTTCTCTTGAAATACAATCGTTAAAGCGAATTGAATTAAATTTTGTACTCACTCTGGTAATTTATTCGAACGATTGAATGATTACGATTAATCAATGTCTTGAAACACAATCGTTAAAGCGAATCGAATTTAACTTCATACCCACCCTGGTAACTTATTTGAACGATTAAATAATCACAGTTAATCGCACGTTCTCTTGAAACACAATCGTTAAGGTGAATCGAATTAAACTTCGTACTCACCCTGGTAATTTATTGAACGATTGAATGGTTATGGTTAATCACACGTTCTCTTGAAACACAGTCGTTAAGGCGAATCGAATTAAACTTCGTACTCACCTTGGTAATTTATTGAACGATTGAATGGTTATAGTTAATCAATGTTTTAAAACACAATCGTTAAAGCGAATCGATTTAAACTTCGTACTCACACTGGTAATTTATTTAATGATTAAATGATTACGGTTAATCATACATTCTCTTAAAATACAATCGTTAAAGTGAATCGAATTAAACTTCGTTCTCACCCTGGTAATTTAATTGAATGATTGAATGATTATGGTTAATCACATGTTCTCTTGAAACACAAACGTTAAAGTGAATCGAATTAATCTTTGTACTCACCCTGGTAATTTATTTGAACAATTGAATGATTACAGTTAATCACACATTCTCTTGAAACGCAATCATTAATGTGAATCGAATTAAACTTCGTATTCACAATCATTAAAGCGAATTTAATTAAGCTCCATACTCACCCTAGTAATTTATTTGAACTATTAAATGATTACGGTTAATCACATGTTCTCTTGAAACACAATTGTTAAAGCGAATCGGATTAAATTTCATCCTCACCCTGGTAATTTATTTGAACGATTGATTAATCAATGTTTTGAAACACAATCGTTAAATGAATCAATTAAACTTCGTACTCACCCTTGTAATTTATTTGTATGATCGAATAATTACGGTTAATCAATGTCTTGAAACATATTCGTTAAAGCGAATCAAATTAAACTTATACTCACACTGGTAATTTATTTGAACGATTAAATGATTATGGTTAATCACACATTCTCTTGAAGCACAATCGTTAAAGTGAATCGAATTAAACTTCATACTCACCTTTGTAATTTGTTGAATGATTGAATGATTACGGTTAATCAATATCAAGAAACACAATCATTAAAGTGAATTTAATTAAGCTTCATACTTATCATAGTAATTGTCCGGAGCATAGCGAAGGACTTACATTTTATGCTTAATGATCATTATGTCCAGATGATCCACACGTGATCTATTTGCTATACTATACTTACTTTGATCAAAAATGTCCGGATGCTCTGCACGTGATATATTCGTTAAACTATAATTGGGTAAAACTCTACTACTAGACTTACTTTGATCAAAATGTCCAGATGTTCATCACCACGTGATATACTAAATAAACAGTGATTGGGTAAAAACTTACTATTAGACATGCTTCGATTAAAAATGTCTGGATGTCTATAATATATAATTTTGTATAATTTGCTCCAGACATTAACAGATCCTGTTAACCTAGTTTATTTGAACTATTAAATGATTATGGTTAATCACACATTCTCTTGAAACACAATTGTTAAAGTGAATTGGATTAAATTTCATTCTCACCCTGGTAATTTATTTGAACGATTGATTAATCAATGTTTTGAAACACAATCATTAAAGCGAATCAATTAAACTTCGTACTCACCCTTGTAATTTATTTGTACGATTGAATAATTACGGTTAATTAATTAAAAATAAGTTTTCTCACACTGGTCACGTTTTCCGAAGATGACCAATCAAAAACGTTTAAACGGACGAACTAGGGATTACATCAGAATGACATATATGCATGTGCCCTGTGTTATCCAATCAACTTATGAATAAAAGACCAATCAGGATGCAGGATTGAAACCCGATTTCTTTATTGTATACTTTAAGAATAATTAATAATAATAATAATAATAATAATAATTAATAATTAATAATAATAACAATTAATAATTAATTAAAGGATTATTATCGGAAGAACTAGCGAAACTGAACGGGACCGAAGTGTTTGGCAGCACTCCACC